AGTGGTATTTTTGCAAATGAATACCCCTAAATGATATTTTTGCAAATGTACACATAAAAAATAGCATTTTTGCAATTTTTCCTTGAATCTATACACAATTAGTTTGATATTGAATGGTAAAAGACTCGGAAGTTACTATGGGATCAAAGAAACACTTTACATATTCTCTAGAATTCTTGTATTAAAAGGAAAAAAAACGTACAAAACATATAGCAACGATACTTAGAAAAAGTGATTATGTTATTAACTGTTTAGAATAATAAAAAAAAAATATATAGAATATTTGTTAAAGAAAAAACTACATTTCATATTTTTAAAAGGTGGTTAACTATGTACACTATAAACATAGTAAGGACATAATTATAAGAAAAGAAATATCATTGGTTTATTAAGCTTAGTTTTGTTAATTATGATACCCAACAGTACAAATTAATAAAGTAGAAATATTTACAACACTCTTTTGCTATTATGCACAAATTTTTACATTATTAATATTTTTGGTATTCGATCATTCAACTATACCGTTACTTTTTTCTTTTTTTTTGGGTCGAACTTGTGGGTTTTCATTAGACCGGGATTAAACCGGGTTGAAACATAACATGGTTTAGTGCCGATTTAGCCAATATATCGGCATCGACATTTTCTTTTCTTTTGAACATATTCAAAGGTTACAAAGTTGAAATTGAAAGAGAGAATCGAGATGTCTTGGAGTATTTCGTAGATCTCAGAGTTCTGGGATTTGTTGTTGATTAATCGGATCAATGTATGTGAATACGATGACAATCGAAGATTCTGCAATCCCTCATGTGAGAGGGCTTCGCGAATCGCAAGTGCTTCCGCCATTAAAGGTGAGGAAGTGTAGGGTTGGATCAAGGTTCCTTGGTCGATGATTTGATCGTGGTGGTTCCGAACAATCCAGGCGAGGCCTGCTGTTTGGGAGTCAGATCGCCAAGTCGCCCGTGAAGAGTCGATAGGTCTCAGGTTCCGAATCGGTGTTGTTGCGATCCGGGATCTGGAAGGTTGTCTTTGGGTCTGGGACATGTCCCATAATCCACTCTCTCGCATCAGTAGTTGCCTTTGTGACTGTTTCTTCCGTTGAGAAAGAGCGATTGGAGAAGATGAGATTGTTTCTAACGATCCACAAGTACCAACAGATCCAAGGAAAAATTGATCCTGAGCTAATTCCGCTAGGTGGCAGGCATATCAACCGTTTTGAGGCAGCAAGACCTTCTAATATTCATGTAGCATATCCCTTATATATTAATTGGAGAGCATTTTTTTGAAAAGAGCTTATGTATCATCACCAAATTCATTCTCACACTTTAACGTGAAATGACATTGTAAAAAATATGACATGGCATTGACACCAAAATCTTCAAAACAAAATTGGGCCAAACAATTAGCCCAATTTCACAAAAATTTGGCCCAATATATATTCACAAAATTTGGCCCAATATATATTCACAAAAATTAATGAGGTAATGGGTATTTTACGTTATACATATTAAAAGATAAAAATACACATGTACAATTATAATACTGATTTTCACGTTAGCTGAGAATTAAAAGTAACCACTTCTACTGACAAATTCTACAGAAGACTCACATACATCTTCGTCATCATCAACAACACCTTAGTTGAAGGTGACAAGAGGAATTCGAAACATGAGCTCAATTGAAGATCAAAACTATGTAACAAAGAAGATAAAGCTAAAAAACCATGACCCAACAACTCAAAAAGAATGATTGTGTTCCCAATTTGTTTTCTTTTGTTTGATTCTTTTACTTTCAATTTTCAAAGTTGACTCTGGATTTTGCTGTTTCCTTCTTTCCTATTTTATTGTTTTAAATCTTCAATTTATTTAAAACAAAAATTTGGCCCAATATATATTCACAAAATCGGCCCAACTCGACATGAAATGACAATCAATTTAACATATTTTAATCATTATTTTTTTACTTATCTACATAGATATATAATCCCGAATTTTCTGTTTTTAAAACTTGCAAAAATCAATATTAATTAGGTATTGACTCTTAAAGAAATCGGCCAAAATCAATTACTAGCCCAATTTCACAAGCACAACTAAACCTACTTAAGTAAATAATTTATTTGTATTCTAAATTCTACTTAAGGTATTTGGACAACCCAAAGTTAACATGTTTTTTTTTTTAAATTCTAATGTATTAAATTGTTATACTTTTAATTTTGACGCATGTACATATATAAAATAATTTCTCAAGTTTATAAAAACAAATATAATTATTCTTTTGAAATGTTTTTTTTTTAACGCAAGACAATTTGAAAGTAATACAAATAATTTTTAGTTCGAAAGCAGCAATTTTGTTTTTTAATTTTTGTTTCATTTATAAAATTTATGATTACATATTTTAATGTTTTAGAATATTAAGTAATTTATTTGTATTCTAAATACTACTTAAAATATTCGGACAAGCAAAATTTAACATTTTGTTTAAATCCAATGTATTAAATTATTATACATTTTGACTAGACACATTTACATATATAAATAATTAAATGGTAAAACTAAATTTCTGAAATTAATATCATTAATATAAATGATATTATTGAGCAAAAAATTAACAAGAGAAGAATCGTATAATAAAAATCGAACTACATATTTCACATTTTTAAACACTAAAATTAAAAACAAAACTACATAAATAATTTACCGCGTG